CCCTTATGGTAATCTGAACCAGGAGGTAGTCAAGTCATTTTTCTGGGTCAATGGGGGAGGGGGGCAGCTGGAATTGGGCTTTAAATGTCTGCCATAATTTTATAGCTGAGATTGTTTACATTTAATTGTATTCACTCATGTCCTGTTTATAAAGCTACACTTTCTTTCATCCTTCAGATTTAAACATGGACAAGGCTCCCAGTTAAGAAGATGGACTTTGGGAAGCACAAGATGGAGATTGTATGTGCCAAAGCAGCTCCTGGGATATAATCACCATAGTGTGAAATGTTTTGAAAGTCTATGCGGGTAGAGAAAGAGGAGTCCATTACCTCTGCTCTAGATGCTATTCTAACAACTTTGGAGCAGGCTCATGTGACAGAGTTTCACTGCCTATCCTCCCTCTAACTGCATTTGGAAGACCGGAGCCGCCACAATAACCTTTGGCTATGGGGCCCCCCAGAGGCTACTGACCAGAAAACCAGGATATCCCCATGGCTATCCATGACAAGCCGTTGGACAGTCTCCTGTCTACGTAGTTTCCTCCTAAGAATCCTAACAGATCTTCCGGACCTCTTCCCTTTCCTAAACATGAAACCGCTCTCCATCCCACATAGGCTGCAGCAACTAGTGGAGCTGTGCCCACATCGAAGGTCCCAACTCTCCAGCGGAGGTCAGTGATCCCTAAAGAACTAAGCTCACTGATGCAGATTGCACTTCCTCCTATCTAGAGGTGTACACTGCCACATCACTGCCTGATATACCTTATGGGCCCCCCTCAGCCCCTGACTTTGACTTTTCCCTTTTAAGGAACACATACCCACCTGCAATATGTGACTCAGCAGTGGGACCACCCACTGGCCAGGCATGAAGCAACAACCGTGCATTGTTCCTACCTTTTCCCATACAGGCTTATAGGCTAGCCAGTGAGCCCCCTACACCTTCGACACAATAGACTTTTTCATGTGAAAACTGTATCTTGACGCACACACACTGTGGATGGAAATCCTTACTAATAAGTACGGGCTCTGTTGGCATCCACTAAAGCTGACATGGTCGGCACTCTCTATTCGAGACTTAAATTCCAAAACAGTTGCGTTCTCTACTACTCTTATCTGAACACCTACCAAACCATCCCGTGATGCCAGTTACGCTCTTGCTGCCTATATGTTTATATATGATGGGCCAGATGTGTGGGGGAAGGGAGACATCCTCGTCAAGCTGGGTTGGAACCCCTGGCAGGACCAATAACAGGTTTTTGGACTATGGTGCCTCCCCCCTTGAACATACAGGGCACTCCCCTGACATCTATACTCACGCGGACATCTGTTACCGGAAAACTTGAGGTGTCCCTACATCGCTAGCATAGTTTTAACAGATTTGGTTCCCTATAAAGAACTTCTTCACAGAATTATCACCGACAATTAGGGACATTGGGCAGGGGATCTCAACAACAGGGGCTGTTAGGCACAGCCAATATTGCAGCCATAAGATCGAGTCACACATCAAGGACATTGTATGCTATGCGTAGGGGTGGGACTTGTTTCTCGGCAGTAGCCGTAATAACTGATCAGCCGGAAGGGCATCCAGTGATTACCCCCTAAGTATTCAAGAAGCCAATGCTCTTCTTTGGGACTTACTAGGACTATGAGGGCACTAGACCCTGCTTAGTTAATGCCAGCGGTCTGTGGAAATGGGGGTGGTAAGAATTAGAAAATGCAAGCAGCGTGGTTCCCCACTAGATCTATACGATATGATGTTCTGTGGTGTCGGACCCTAATGGGCACTGAGTACTCAGGATAGCACTGTTTTTAAGCTAAGTTGCACTACTAAAGCTGTCTTGTTTATAATTGCTATGTAACAGATTGATGAGACCACTTTACCTGGTGCATAGTGGGGAAGGGATGAACTGGCAATAACTGTACTTCACAGCAATCCTACATAGGCCTCCACTCACAGGGCATACATAGCTCTTCATGTTGAGTGCATAAGGAATATTCTCCTAAATTGGTCACCTACATACCTCGGCTACTCTCTCCTTTTTCCCACATACCCAGTTCCCACAACCTTGAAGCATTGACCATCCAGTTGCGCCAGATTGCCTTCACCACCTCACAGCCCATTAACTTACTCCCACCTCCCTCCATCCCACTTACCCCTAGTTTCCTCTTGCAACTTACCCACTGACCCATCTCTCCTTGACCCAACTCTTTCCCTTCTATTCTAATTGGAGGTGATTTCAGTTTAGTTCTAGACGCGAACGAATCATCATCTTACCTATCTAATATGACATTTAAGCACATCAAGAAATGCTTACACCATTTCTAATTTATATATATATATATGGTGAGTCCTTCACCCTAAAGCTAAAGACTCACATCCTCAACAGCCTTAGACACATATTGACCTTTTTCTTGGTCAACCATTATGATCTTATGTGCACGCAAAATATCTCCCTAGGCGTTATCTACCTATCTGCCCATGACCCCCATCTCCCTCAAAATAGATCTTCTCTTTCTTCCTGATAGACCATGGCACTGATGTCTAAATGATGCACTCTTTCAGGACCCCTCATACTAGAGGACATCTGGAAGTACTTTCTCCTTAATTATACTTCAACTTACGATCCTGTGTGAAACATACCAGACCTACTGTATATTCAAGGAATCTTTCTAAACATGGAACTAGACTCAAGAAAGCTAGAACTGAACGAATAGGATACCTTTTAGGGGAGTGGGACATATTCTGAAAGCTATCCACAAATAAACACGGTAATGTGGTAAACTTCTTAATCGGGCCCTAAGAGCCCAAAAGGAACGGTTCTACATTCTAGAGATCAGTACATGACAATACAGGAAGGTGTCTAAATCTGTGGATATAGCTGAAATCTTTAGATACCACTACTCTTCTCTAAATAGGTTAAAGA